GTGTCCCCAGGCACCGACGCGCCGGCCGTGGTGAACTGCCTGCACATCCTGGCCCGCTCGCTGGACGCCAGGTGGGACCGGGTCCCCGCGGGCCCCGAGCGTGCCGATGTCACTCCCGTGCCAGCCCTGTCCCCACGGGGCCCCGAAACCTGGAGCCACCACGATGCTGCTCCTGTCCCTGCAGTGCTCAGTGCCACCTTGATTCTGTCCCCATCTCTGTGGTGTCCTGATGCCATCCGTGTCCCCATGGTGCTCAGTGCCACCCTGATTCTGTCCCCATCTCTGTGGTGTCCTGATGCCATCCGTGTCCCCATGGTGCTGTCCCCATCCCCTGCACTAGCTGTGCCCTGATGCCACCTTGATGGCATCCCTGTCCCCATGGTGCCCCAGTGTCTGGTACCACCCAAAAGCTGTCCCCAACCCTGCAGTGCTCCAGTGCTCGATGTGACCCCAAAGCCATCCCCACAGTGCCACCCAGCTGCTGTCCGTGTCCCCATGCTGGCTGTGCCCCACTGCCCAATGCCACCCCACCGCCTAGTGCCACCCCATAGCGGTGCCCAAGTTGGACTTGTGCCGAGTGGCCGTCTGCCCGCTGTGGCCGTGCTGAGCTGACGATCACGTCCCCCCAGGACGGTGATGAAGTCGGGCCCCGAGATCGTGAAGGCCGGGCTGCGGTCCTTCTTCGAGAGCGCCTCCGAGGACATCGAGAAGATGGTGGAGAACCTTAAGCTGGGCAAGGTGACGCAGAGCCGTACCCAGGTGAAGGGGGTGGCCCAGAACATCAACTACACCACGGTGGCCCTGCTGCCCGTCCTAACCTCCCTCTTTGAGCACGTGGCCCAGCACCACTTCGGGGACGACGTCATCCGTGAGGACACAGGGGACATAGCAGGGATGAGGGACACAGCAGGGACGGGGACGCTACGGGGATGGAGGGCCCTGGGGCAAGCCAGTGGGATGGGGGCCCACGGGGGACATGGGGACATGTTGGGGACAGGGGGCATGGCAGGGGCGGAGGCGTGCTGGGGATGGGGGACACCAGGGGAGCATTAGGGATGGGGGCGTTTTGGGGATGGGAACATGGGGGCACATTGGGGACGAAGGCCGTGGAAGGGATGGGGGATGCACTGGGGACAGTGGAGACAGGGGAAGGAGCACACTGGGGACAGAGGGCCCAGCAGGGGCGAGGGACATAGAGGCACACTGGGGACATGGGGATGCTTGGGAGGAAGGGGTCACGGTAGAGATGGGGGGACACTTGGGGGCGCATTGAGGATGGGGACACTTTGGGGACAGGGAGCGCAGCAAGGATGGGAGGCACGTTGGGGATGGGGAACTCTGGGGACAAGGGGGCGTTTTAGGGATGTGGCGCATCAGAGACGGGGACTCTGGGGACAGAAGACTGGGGAATGCTTCAGGGACGAGGGGACAATTTGGGGATGGGGGTAGAGAGGGGACAGGGCGATGGAGCCTGCTGGGGCAGTTTGGGGGTGCAGGGACCTGCTGGTGGGGGGGACACAGGGACACCACAGCCCTGACCTCCCCTGTCCCTGCAGTCGATGATGTCCAGGTCTCCTGCTACCGGATCATGTGCAGCATCTACTCGCTGGGCACCACCAGGAACCCCTACGTGGAGAGGTGAGGGGCTGGGGGGCAGCCAGGGTGGGAGGTGCCTGGGTCCCCCAGCACCCCCTTTCCCTGCAGATCAACGGGTGGCTTTGGGGTTGCCATTGAGGGGTGCTCATGCCCAGGGGGTCACCAGGGCCCTGGGGTGCCAGTGAGAGGTAGTTGTGCCCATGGGGTGCCCATGCCTGTGAGGTGGCCACGGCCAAAGGGCACCCATGGAGTGGTTGTGCCCCTGGGGTGCCCATGGAGTACCCATGCCCATGGGGTGCCCATGGTCCTGGCGTGCCAGTGGGGTGGCTGTAGCCATGGGGTGCCCATGCCTGGTGAGTCCCCATGGAGTGGCCGTGCCCATGGGGTGGTTGTGCCCATGGGATGCCCATGCTAGTGGGGTTCACCTGGGGGGCCCATGGGCTGCCAATGGCCCTGGGGTGCTTATGGGATGGCTGTGCCCATGGGGTGCCCATGCTGGTGGGGTTGCCCTGGGATGCCCAAACCACTGGGGAAGCTGTAGCCATGGGGTGCCCCTGGGGTGTCCATGCCCATGGGGTGGCCATGGGGTGGCCGTGGCCCCAGCACCTGTGTGTCCGCAGGCAGCGCCCGGCGCGGGCCGGTGAGTCGGCGGTGGCCCCCCCCCTTGCCTTGGGGGCTGGGGACGGACCCCCGGCACCCCAACTGGACCCCCACCCTAGGGTGCCCCTACTTCCCCCTAGCTTTGGAGCACCTTCATGTCCCTGGTGCCCCTCATGTCCTTGATGCCCCTCAGTCTCCCCAGTTTTGGGGCACCCTCAGTAGCTCCCGCTTCCTCCAGGTTTGGGGCACCTCCTCCTGTCCCCGATGCCTCCCGCTTAGCTTCTGCTTTGGGCCACCCCAGCGTCTTCAAATTGCCCCCAGGTTTGAGGCATCTCCACGTTCCCAATGTCCCCCAGTTGCCCCAGCTTCTGAGTACCCCCAGTGCCCCCGGTTTCCCCCACCTTTGGGGCACCTCCACATCCTCAATGCCCCCAATTACGCCAGCTTCGGGGCCACCCTGATGCCCACCCAGTTTCCCCCACCTTGGGAGCACCTGCATGTCCTTGATACCTTCCAGGTTTGGGGCACCCCCACATCCCTGATGCCCCTCGCTTGCCCCACCTTTGGGGTCCCCTCGTGTCCCCGATGTCCCCACCTTTGGGGCACTCCCACGTCCCTGAGCCAGCCCCATGTCCCCGCAGTCCTGGGGTTGCCCAGCCGGGTGGAGGAGATGTGCCCCGACATCCCAGACCTGGAGCGCCTCGGGGGCCGGGCGGAGTCGGGCGCCCGCTACACGGAGATGCCCCATGTCATCGAGGTGACACTGCCCATGCTCTGCAACTACCTGCCGCGCTGGTGGGAGCGCGGCCCCGACACCCTGCCCCAGGGGCCCTGGGCCACCGCCGTCACCGGGCAGCACCTCAACGCCCTGCTGGGGAACATCCTCCGCATCGTCGTCAACAACCTGGGCATCGACGAGGCCTCCTGGATGAAGCGCCTGGCAGGTGGGTGCGGGGGAGGATGCAGGGATGGCGCCGGGGTCCCTTGGTGGGTCCCAGGGCTGGTGCTGGGGTCCCTTGGTGAGTCCCAAGGATGGTACCAGAGTCCCTTGGTGGGTCTCAGAGATGGTGCCAGGATCCCATGGTGGGTCCCAGGGATCTAGGGCTGGTGCTGGCATCCCTCAGCAGGTCCCGGGGCTGGTGCTGGTGTCCCTGGGTGGGTCCCAGGGATGCAGGGCTGGTGCTGGTGTCCCTGGGTGGGTCCTGGGGACACGGGGACGATGGCAGCGCCTGTCCCCGCAGTGTTCGCCCAGCCCATCGTGAGCAAGGCGAAGCCGGAGCTGCTCCGCTCCCACTTCATCCCCACCATGGAGAAGCTGAAGAAGCGAGCGGGCAAGGTGGTGGCCGAGGAGGAGCAGCTCCGCATGGAGGCCAAGGCCGAGCCCGAGGACTCGGAGCTGCTCATCCGCGACGAGTTCTCCGTGCTCTGCCGCGACCTCTACGCCCTCTACCCCCTGCTCATCCGCTACGTGGACAACAGCCGGTGAGGGCATATGGGGACCAGGCAGGGGACACGGGGACGTGGCCAGGGGCCACCAGGATGCTGCCAGGGCTTGGGGATGTGGCCCTGGGATACGACCACCCCCTGGTCCATCCCTGATGCTGCAGTGGGGAACATGGACACTGGGGGACAGGGGTGTCCCTTCGCGGTGGCCGTGGGGCCCTTGGGACCCCTCCCCATGGCCACGGGGACCGAGGCACCCC